CTTCTTGGTCATTATGAAATTATTTTATTAGATTATTGAACTTACAAATAAAACTAAATTAATTATAATTTAACAAATAAAATTGTTTTGATTGATTTTACTGTACTATTTTTAAACTCAAAGGATACTAAAATAGTAAGTAAAATTTGTAAATAAAACAAAAATTTTTCAAGGAGGTATTAAATTAAATTAGTAATACTTAGATTTTTTTCTATATCAGTAAAGGATTTATATTTATCGGACCATAGTATGATTCAAAGTAATAACTATAAATCAAAAAAAAAAAAAGATAAGAAATCAAAATCAAAACAATGAAAATAAAGTACCTATTATTGCTTGCTATTTGCTTACTCAGTTTTTGCGTCTCACAAGAAACAAACTTAAAATAAAAAATACCTGAAGAAACAAATAAAGATAAAGAAGAAGATCCAACTACTGAAGAAAATAATGAAAATCATGAGGTAGAGGAAGGATAAGAAGAAGTAGAAGATGATGATGATGATTATGATGAAGAAGAAGAAGAAGAAAAAAGAAGAAATGATGAAATAAATGAAATGATGGCCGTTCACGAGAGAGAAAGAAAGAATGATGGAAAATGTTTTCTTGATGTTTTTTCATCAATAGTATAAAATGATCGTGGATGCATTAGTCCTTACGTTGATTAAATGTATTGTACTATTAGTGAATGTGGGATAAAAAACAAAATACCATCAGCTGATTAATATAATGAATGTATTAATAATACTTGCTAAGCATACTTTGAATGTGTTAATGATGCAAATAAAAAGATTTACGAATGTTTATCGAAGAAAAATTAACAAAAAATAAACAACAATAAGGAAGATAATAATAATAATAATAATAATAATGATAACAAAAGCTAAAAAGCTGAGGAAGAAGAAAATCTTAATGGTGAAGAAGGAGATAACGAAGAAGAAATAAACAATTCAGATATAGAAAAAACAGAAGATTAAAAATCAAATGCATCAATAATTTCATTTGCCTTTTTAGGATTATTCATAATATTATTTTGATTTATTTGTATTTTTAAAATATGTTTTTAAGTGTTTTTGTATTCACTTTTTTTAATTTTAAAATTATTCTTTGAAAAAATTAATATTGAAAAATTTATTGGATATATATTTGTATTAAAAGTGAACAGTTTAAATATTTGTTAATGTCAAAATATTATTTGGCAAATAATTAAAATAACACTTTAATTTTTTGTCATTAAACTAAATGCATATTTAGATTTTATTATAAATAGAGGCAAAACTATTTATCTATCAATCAATCTTTCTATTTATTTTTTATATAATTAATAATTAGATTCAAATGTATTTTTTCCTTATTATTAAAAAGAAATTTAATTTAAGAGAATCATAAAGAAATAATACTTAATTAGAAGTGAAAAAAATCATATTACTATTGAATATTTAATCAATTATTAATTGAAATAAAAAGTCTACGTAAAATAAAGATATTAAAATACGTGTTTGTCTGTTACTCTAAATGAAATTGGAAATTTCTAAAAGTAGTAAAAAAATTCTATTTATTTAATTATTATTCATATTATAATCCAAATTATTCTATTAAACAATTCTAGTAATTTAAATTATTATATTATTTTTAGATGATTTAAAAAATATTTTTTTTTAATATAACAATTTTAAATTTCATTTGGACTTTTTATGTATTGAAATTAAATTATACTTAACACTATTTATTTTGCATCAAATTATATTGATCTATCTATCTCTATCTGTCTGTCTATCTATCTATCTATCTATCTATCTATCTATCTATCTATCTATCTATCTATCTATCTATCTATCTATCTATCTATCTATCTATCTATCTATCTATCTATCTATCTATCTCTTTTATTGGTTTTTCTTAAATTTTCAATAGGATAATCTTTTGATTAAAGTAAAAAAAATAAATTGAAGATAAAAAAAGAAATATAAAATAATCAAAAAAATGGAAACAAAATTAATGTTTTTCCTTATTTACTCCTTGGTTGGCTTTTTTATCTTTTTAGATTACTAAAAGTTAAATAGATCTGATGGAGTTTATTAATATGAATGCGAATTAGATGATATAGAAGAAAATGAATAACACGAAGCTAATAGAATTGCAAAACATTAAAAAGTATTAGAAATTTTAGAAAGAGTAAAGGCTAATGGTGGATAATGTTTTCTTGATGCAATTGCTGAGGTAAATAAATCTACAGATTATAATTACCATGAATTTTATGAATACTAACTTTTTTGTCTCATTTTACGATGTGGGATTGAAGAGGATGTTCCCTCAGCTGAATTATTCTCTTCTTGCATAGAGACAAATTGTTACATTGACTATGGAACTCTTTCAGGATATTATAGCTATTCTCTATATATTTTTTTTATAGGTGTATATTATTTTATTTTATAAAATGTAAGTTAATTTAAATTTATGAATATTTGTTTATTTAATAATTTTATAATTTTTTTAATTAAATTGTTATATATTCCATCATAAATTTTCTTTCTTATCTAAAATAAATTCAAATTTTTAAGGTAAATACATGATATGGCTGATTAATTATTTAAAATAATTAATAATATACAAAATTATTTTTTTAATGTAAATTTTTATTAGATCTATTTTAAATTAAAGTGTCATTTCATTCAAGATAATTAAAAAAATTAAAATTTTCTATAGTATCACTTTGAATTAATATATTCTGCTTCAATCTAAGTAGATGATTGTTTAAAAGTAACAAAAATTATAATTTTTAAAAACAAATAAATATCTTATTAACATAATAAAATCATTATTTCTTTCTTGATTGAACTAGGTACTTTCATCATAATTCAATATAATTGTTTGAAGATAAATTTATTTATAAAAATATAATAATTTACTTACTCTTATTTGTTAATAAGTTCATAATAATTTTTATTTGATTTTCATTCAGTAACATAATTGCCGTATACTTTTTAAAATTATTAACATCTTTAATATCAAAAATAATGAGAAATTTTCCTTATTTTTAAATATTCATATCAAAGATATTTTATCACTAATAAATATAATATTTAAAATGAATATTTTTGATGACTTCAATAGAATATTTAAAATTATATAAACGTCTTGTTTATTTTACTAATAGTTTTTAAATATAATGAACTCATATTATTAATTGAATGTGTTATAGAATAATTTATTATGATTGAATTTATGTTTTGTAAATGCAAAAAATAATTAATTAAGTAATAACAAAATATTACAATATATTTTTGTACACTGATTAATTTAACATTCTGAGTAAAGATGACATTAATCTGTCTACTTTTTTCAATTATTTTTTCAAAATAGCTGAATCTAATTACTGGTTTCTAATAAAGTTTACAATAAAAAAATAACATATTTATATCAATTACTGCAATAATAAAATATATCTAAGATTTAAATAACATTTTTTTACATAGGTGTTTCGAATAATTGAATTTTTATTTCACTTTTTGATAAGTTGTTAAAATAGTTTAATGTTTTCTTGGTTATTATGAAATTATTTTATTAAATTATTGAATTTACAAATAAAATTAAATTAATTATAATTTATCAAATTAAGTTTAACAAGTAAAATTGCTTTGATTGATTTTGCTGTACTATTTTTGAACTCAAAGAATACTAAAATAGTAAGTAAAATTAGTAAATAAAATTAAAATTTTTCAAGGTATCAAATTAAATTAGTAATACTTAGGTTTTTTTCTATATCAGTAAAGGATTTATATTTATCGGATCATATTATGATTCAAAGTAATAACTATAAATCAAAAAAAAAAGAAAAAAAAGAAAATAATTACCAGTAAAAATCGAAACAATGAAAATAAAGTACCTATTATTGCTTGCTATTTGCTTGCTTAGTTTTTGCATCTCACAAGAAACAAACTTAAAATAAAAAATAACTGAAGAAACAAATGAAGATAAAGAAGAAGATCCAACTACTGAAGAGAATAATGAAAATCATGAGGAAGAGGAAGAATTGGACTATGATGAAAGAAAAAGAAGAGAAGAAGAAGAAGAAAGATTAGCAGAATAAGAATATCTTGAAGAAGAAAAAAGAAAAAATGATGAAATAAATGAAATGATGGCCGTTCACCAGAGAGAAAGAAAGAATGATGGAAAATGTTTTCTTGATGCTTTTTCATCAATAGTATAAAATGATCGTGGATGCATTAGTCCTTACGTTAATTAAATGTATTGTACTATTAGTGAATGTGAGATAAAAAACAAAATACCATCAGCTGATTAATATAATGAATGTATTAATAATACTTGCAGACCACACTTTGATTGTGTTCAAGATGCAAATAAAAAGATTTATGAATGTTTATCCAAGAAAAATTAACAAAAAACAAACGACAAAAACGAAGATAATAATAATAATAATAACAAAAGCTAAAAAGCCGAGGAAGAATAAAAATTTTATGATGAAGAAGGAGATAACGAAGAAGAGATAAACAATTCAGATATAGAGAAAACTGAAGATTAAAAATCAAATGCATCAATAATTTCATTTGCCTTTTTAGGGTTATTCTTAATATTATTTTGATTTATTTGTATTTTTAAAATATGTTTTTAAGTGTTTTTGTATTCACTTTTTTTAATTTTAAAATTATTCTTTGAAAAAAATTATTTTTGAAAAATTTATTCGATATTTGTATTAATAGTGAACAGTTTAAATATCTCTTTACAGTCAAAATATTATCTGGCAAATAAATAAAATAACACTTTAATTTTTAGTCATTAAATTAAATACAAATTTAAATTTTATTATTAATTCAGAAAAAAATATCTATCTATCTATCTATCTATCTATCTATTTATATAATTTATAATTATAATGAATTATTTATCCTTGTTATACATAAGAAATTAAAAATTTAAGAGAATCCTAATGTAATAAAAGCTTAAGGGGAAGTTAAGAAAAAACATATCCCTATTAAATATTTAATCAATTATTAATGAACGAAAAAGTCTACTACATATACATAAAATAGTGGTATTAAAACAAGTGTTTGTTTGCTACTATGAAGATCTTTCAGATATTACTAAAAGCACAACCGAAATATTAAAAAATGTTTATTTATTTAGCATAAACCTAAAGGGTGAGGAAAAAACTGCATAAGAACAACTAGTATCTAATTCTGCCAATTAAGAAATAATTTAAGGTAAAATATATAAAACCTACCTATTAAAACTAATCTGCATTCTTTATTTATTTGGCAATAATTGGATTGAGTTTAATAATAATTTTATTATAATGTAAAAATAAAAAAAAATATTTAATTAAAGTTAAATACAAACTAAAAAATTATTTCAAATGTATAATTAAATAACATAGATAGATTTACTTTTTAAATTTAAAATAATTTAAATTTAATATTATAAAGCAGAAAATCAGAATTATAATAATAAAATGCTTATTGTAATTAAAGGTAATGCAATTAAGGAAGAGTGAGATACATTACCAGTTTTATTAATAGTGTTAGTAGTATCAGTTTCAGTTTCAGTATCAGTACCACTTTTAGTATCAATATCACTTTTATCAGTTTTAGTATTAGTAGTGCTAGTCTGTTGAAAAACAAATTTATCATCAAATTAGTTATACTTAGCAAAATATGTGCATTAATACAATCTTTATCCATTTTCTTAAATTTACTTGGATTCACTTTTACATTAATTTTAAATGCATTGTCCATAAATTTCTGGTTTTTTTACTTCAACTTTACTAGAGCATCTATTTGCTACACAATAGATTTATGATAAAAATTGCTTAAAACACTCAGTATCCTTTTGGCAGCTTTCTATCTCGTATCTTAAACAATTTTATTCTTCTGTTTCGTTTTGATCATTATTCATTTCTTTATAAAACTCATCAATATATTCATTCTAGTTCTTTTCAAATTCTTTTTCGAATTCTTATTAAAATTATTGATAATCCTAAAATCTTTTTAGATCGTCTTCAGGATTATATTTAGCAGCATATAAGCATTAGTAAGTTTGTAAACTTAATTTTTAAACTTCCTCTGAATCACTAATACATTATCTTTAAATACAAGATCCATATATTTCTGCTAACTCTCCATCTAATTCAAAGCCACATCTTAAAGTAGTACAAGCAAATTAGTTATATGACTTACTAATACACTCTTTTCTATTTTCTTCTTTACATTCTAGGTATTGCTTATTTAAGCATTTATAATCTTCGCTAAAATTTTCATATTCTTTCAAATAGTTTAGATAGTTTTCTAACCTTTCAGGTGTAGATATATCTTCATCAAATTGATTTTACAACTCTTTTAGTCTGTTTTGAATTTCTTCTTCAGTTAATTTTTCTTAGACTTATTAAGAGACACATAGACCAAATAAGCATACAAAGATCAGAATTAGGAATTTCTATTTCATTTTATTTATTTTGTATTTGTTATTATTTTATTAATTTATTAAAATATTATCTTAATTTGTAATTTATCTCTCATTTTTAAAATATTTGATAAAATAGACAAGTAAGTTATAATTAGAAAATAAATATTAAATATTTATTTCCTATTTTTAGCAAAAATTTAAAAAAATGAATAAATAGTACTAATTAATTTTCTGCCACTTAGTTATATTATATAAAACAAGCATTTATTTTTTAATTTTTAAAACTAATGCAATAAATTAAATATAAACCTTTTCCTGGTTTTTTATTATCATTTCAAATACCTTTATTCCTCCATTATTATAAAATTCTATGTATTTGAATGAAGATTTCTTTATTAAAAAAATAATGCTTGATTGGGAGTTTTTGGTGGTGAAATTGGTGGTATATAAATGATAATGAGCAGTAAATATTTTTTTATTTATTTTTCAATGAGATAATCTGTCTGTTCACCTTTCTCAATTTTTACAAAAAATAAATAAACATTTTCAAGAATTAATAAATTCAGTAAAGATATTTTATCTTTTAATAATGTATATCATTTAAATTAAATATTAATTTTATCTTATGCAAATATAAAAGAAATAAAAAAATGATATTAATATTTATTTTTAAGTAAATATTATTTTAAAAATTAATTGAAATCTACTGTAAAAAAATTTAAATTGTTTTGTTTATTCATACTGAATATCTTAGAAATTGTTTTGATTATTTTTTTCAATTAATTAATTGTTTTATGATCTTAATAAAGTTTATTTTTTAGAATTTGCAAAAAAAGTAAAAAAATTACACTTTTTTATTAAATAAGAATGTAATGATTTAAAAATATTTTAAGTAGTATTAATTAATGCCTTGTTTTCAAAACACTTATAAAAAATAAAAGAATTTTAATAAAATGTTTGATTTATTTACTTCTAATTATGTTAAAAAGTTCTCATTAATTAAAATACAATAGAGTTATTTATCAAAATGATTAATTACATGCTTTATACATATAAGAAAAATCTAAAACATTAAGAAAAAAAGATATATCTATTTTATTTATTAATCTAATATTAGGATTAACTTTATTTAAATTTGTTAGATCTAGAATTAAAATCTATATTGTTTATTTTTATTAAATTAATTAATCTGTAATATTATTTAAATTATACCTTAGTACATAAAGTCTCCATTTCTTTTTTTGTTTTTTCATGAAAAAAAATCAAAAATGTTAATTTATATATTCCATCAAATATAAATTTCATTCTTATCTAAAATAAATTTGTATTTTTATGGTACATAAAAAATATGGCCAATTAATTATTCAAAATAATTAATAATATACAAAATTATTTTTTTAATGTAAATTTTAGTTAGATCAATTTGAAATTAAAGTGCCATTTCATTCAAGATAATTAAATAAATTAAAATTTTCTATAGTACCACTTTGAATTAATACATTCTCCTTTAAAGTAGATGATTGTTCAAAAGTAATAAAAATGATAATTTAAAAGAGCAAATAAATAAGTTATTAATATAATAAAATCATTATTTCTTTCTTCAATGAGGTAATTTCATCATAATTAGATATGATTTTTTTGAAAATATATTTATTTATATATAAATAATAAAATCCTTACTCTAATTTGTTTATAACTTCATAATGATTTTTATTTGATTTTGATTCAGTAACTCAATTGCTGGTTTATTTTTTTTAATTATTAATATTTTTATCATCCAAAAGAATGAAAAATTTATCTTATTTTTAAATATTCTTATCAAAGATATTTTATCGCAAATAAATTTAGTGTTTAAAATGAATATTTTTGGTGACTTCAATAAAATATTTAAAATTATATAAATGTCTTGTTTATTTTACTTATAGTTTTTAAATATAATCTAAAAATAGATAACTCATATTATTAATTGAATGTGTTATAGAATAATTTATTTTTATTGGATTTATGTTTTGTAAATGCAAAAGTTAATTAATTAAGTAATAGCTAAATATAACAATTTATTTTTATACACTAATTAATTTAACATTTTGAGTAAAGATGACATTAATCTACTTTTTTGAATTATTTTTTCAAAATAAATTAATCTAATTACTGGTTTCGAAAAAAGTTTTCAATAAGAAAATAACATATTTATATCAATTGCTGCAATGATAAAATATATCTAAGATTTAAATAACATTTTTTTACATAGACGTTTCGAATAATTCAATTTTTATTTCACTTTTTGATAAGTTATTAAAATAATTTAATGTCTTCTTGTTCATTATGAAATTATTTTATTAGATTATTGAATTTACAAATAAAATTAAATTAATTATAATTTAACAAATAAAATTGCTTTGGTTGATTTTACTGTACTATTTTTGAACTCGAAGGATACTAAAATAGTAAGTAAAATTTGTAAATAAAACAAAAATTTTTCAAGGTATCAAATTAAATTAGTAATACTTAGATTTTTTTCTTTTTCAGTAAAGGATTTATATTTATCGGATAATAGTATGATTCAAAGTAATAACTATAAAACAAAAAAAAGAAAAAATAAGAAATCAAAATCGAAACAATGAAAATAAAGTACCTATTATTGCTTGCTATTTGCTTGCTCAGTTTTTGCATCTCACAAGAAACAAACTTAAAATAAAAAATACCTGAAGAAACAAATAAAGATAAAGAAGAAGATCTAACTACTGAAGAAAATAATGAAAATCATGAGGAAGAGGAAGAATAAGAAGAAGATTATGATGAAGATGAAGAAGAAAAAAGAAAAAATGATGAAATAAATGAATTGTTTGCCGTTCACGAGAGAGAAAGAAAGAATGATGGAAAATGTTTTCTTGATGCTTTTTCATCAATAGTATAAAATGATCGTGGATGCATTAATCCTTACGTTGATTAAATGTATTGTACTATTAGTGAATGTGGGATAAAAAACAAAATACCATCAGCTGATTAATATAATGAATGTATTAATAATACTTGCAGACCACACTTTGATTGTGTTGATGATGCAAATAAAAAGATTTATGAATGTTTATCCAAAAAAAATTAACAAAAAACAAATGACAAAAATGAAAATAATAATAATAATAATGATAACAAAAGCTAAAAAGATGAGGAAGAACAAAATCTTTATGGTGAAGAAGGAGATAACGATGAAGAAATAAACAATTCAGATATAGAGAAAACAGAAGATTAAAAATCAAATGCATCAATAATTTCATTTGCCTTTTTTGGATTATTCATAATATTATTTTGATTTATTTGTATTTTTAAAATATGTTTTTAAGTGTTTTTGTATTCACTTTTTTTAATTTTGAAATTATTCTTTGAAAAAAATCAACATTGAAAAATTTATTTCATATTTGTATTAATAGTTAATAGTTTAAATATTTCTTTATATCAAAATATTTTTTGTCATTAAATTAATTGCATATTTAGATTTTATTATAAATACAGGCAAAACTATTTATCTATCAATCAATCTATCTATGTATTTTTTTATATAATTTATAATTAGATTCATATGTATTTTTTCTTTATTATAAAAAAGAAATTTAATTTAAGAGAATCATAAAGAAATAATAGTTTAATTAGAAGTGAAAAAATCATATTACTATTGAATATTTAATCAATTATTAAATGCACGAAAAAGTTTACGTAAAATAAAGATATTAAAACACGTGTTTGTTTGTTACTCTAAATGAAATTGGAAATTTCTAAAAGTAGGGAAAAAATTCTATTTATTTATTTATTATTCATATTATAATCCAAATTATTCTATTAAACAATTCTATTAATTTAATTTATTATATTATTTTTAGATGATTTAAAAAATTTATTTTTTTAAATATAACAATTTTAAATTTCATTTGGACTTTTATTTATTGAATTTATACTTAACACTATTTATTTTGCATCAAATTATATTGATCTATCTAACTATCTCTATCTGTCTATCTATGTCTTTAATAGGTTTTTCATAAATTTTCGATAGGATAATCTTTTGATTAAAGTAAAAAAAAATAAATTGAAGATAAAAAAAAGAAATATAAAATAATCAAAAAAATGGAAACAAAATTAATGTTTTTCCTTATTTACTCCTTGGTTGGCTTTTGTATCTTTTTAGATTACTAAAAGTTAAATAGATCTGATGGAGTTTATTAAGATGAATGCGAATTAGATGATTTAAAAGAAAATGAATAACACGAAGCTAATAGAATTGCAAAACAATAAAATGTATTAGAAATTTTAGAAAGAGAAAAGACTAATGGTGGATAATGTTTTCTTGATGCAATTGCTGAGGTAAAAAAATATACAGATTATAATTATCATTAATTTTATGAATACTAACTTTTTTGTCTCTTTTTGCGATGTGGGATTGAAGAGGATATTCCCTCAGCCGAATTATTCTCTTCCTGCATAGAAACACATTGTTACTTCGACTATGGAACTCTTTCAGGATATTACTAAGAGCTCAATCAAAATATTAAAAAATGTTTACTGAGTTAGCATAAACCAAAAAACTTCAAATGAACAAATAGGCTTTAATTCATTCTGCCAATTAAGAAACAATTAAAGGTAAATATTAAAACTAATCTGCATACTTGGTTTTAATAATAATTTTATAATAATGTAAAAATTGAAAAATGAATATTTAATTGAATTGTATACAATTATATGAATAATTAGTTGTTTAAGTGTTCTATTAGAATTTTATATTATCTTTAAAAATTTTTACTAATATTGGTTCTTATTTGTGGTTTGATTGATTGAGTCATAAAATGTTTTCTTGTGTGAAAATCTTTTTTTAATTTGATTTGATAGACTAATTAATTTATTTTTTAATTTATATTCAAAAATGTTAGCAAACTCATAAGATTTAAGAAATTAAATAATATTTTTTTGTTTAATTTAAATTGAAGAGTTAAAAATTTCATTTTAATACAAATTAAATGAGCTAAATAAAAATAATAGAAAGTATATTTGATAATATCTCTTTATATATTTCAAGTATTTCTGTTTATATGTTCAGTTCACTCTTACATCGTCTTAGATAAGGTGATTAATATAAATAAAAAATTTATGATTCCTATCTTCCTCAATGTAGGTAGGTATTATTTATTGCCTTAAAAAAATTTGGACATTCTTATTTTCATACTTTGAACATGCAATTTCAAGACTTTTAGATTAATTTAAAAATATATAGCCATATTCATAATTAAAGAAAGATTTATAACTAAAAATGTTTTTATTACAAAAAGAATTTATTTTTAAAAAACTATTATTTGGGGTCAATTCTTCAAGATAAATAAAAAATTTTAAAATATGGTATGTATGTTTATCAAAAAAATTACTTTTTTTAATGTTCTTTAAAATTAATAATAAAATTAAAAGTTTGTATTAAAAAATAAGTGTTTTTTTAAAACTAAAATAGAAAAATTTTGATGAAATAAATTTGAATTTTAAATGTATCAGATTTTTAAAAGAAACTATATAAAGTTATTTTTTATAAATTTAAAATAAATTTTTGACATAAATCAAAATTTTCTGACTAAATCAAACAACACATAACAAACAAACAACCAATATTAGTAAGAATTTAGAAAAATAATATTAAATTCTATTAGTATACATACATAATTATTCATAATATTTATAATAATCAAATTAATATTAAGTTTAATCCAAGTAATACTAAAGAAATCAAGTATGCAGATGATTTTTAATCATTATTGTCTTATTCACTATCGATTGTTTCTTAATTATCAGAATTAGAGGTTTTTTGTCCTTCTGTATTTTTTTTTTCTGCCTGTTTTGGCTTGCGCTAAGACGATAAACAATTTTAAATATTTCCATTTAGCTCTTAGTAATATTCTGTAAGAGCGTCATATTAAAAATCGCAAGTTGACTTTATGCATGAAGAAAATTATTCAGCTGAGGGAACATCCTCATCACCACATGTTAAAATGAAGCAAAAAAGTTAATATTCATAATTATCTGGATAATATTATTCTGCATATTTATTTAACTCATCTATTGCATCAAGAAAACATTATCCACCATTAGTCTTTTCTCTTTCTAAAATATCTTATACTTTTTAATGATTTGTGACTCTTTCAGCTTCCAGTTATTCATATTCTTCATCTGTCAAGATAGGTATTTCTTCATATCCTTCAAAAGGATCTTAATCTTCTTCTATTTAGTTATTTTCTTCTTATGAGAAACATAAGCCAAACAAGCAGAAAGTAAGCAATATCAGGAATTTTATTTTCATGTTTTTTTTGTTATTTTATTTTTTTTTGTTTTTATTTTGAATTTATTTTTTATATCTTTCATAGCATTATTCTATCAAGAATTTAAGCAAAACCAATAAAATAGAAAGACACCTATAGATCGAATTAGTTTTATATAAAATAAATAGTGTAAATATAAATTCATATTAAAATACAAAATTCTATTAAAAATTTTTTAAATTTAAACTATTACATGATTCTAAGATTATTCAAAAAACTATTATTTTTATAATATAATAACTTTAAACTTTATTTGACCTTTTTGTTTATTGAATTTATATTTAAATAAAAAAAGCTTTTTTACTATTTTTAGAAGTTTTTAAATTGCAATTAGAACAAATAAACAAACACTTATTTTAATATCACTATTTTATGTAGACTTTTTCATTTATTTAAAATTTGATTAAATATTTAATTAATAATTTGAACAAAAATAAATTTATATTTTTGAAAAAAATATAAAATTGTACAATGATATTTCGCTTTTGCTATAAAATATTTAATTTAAAAAAATATATTTAAATTATATTCTATTATTTAAGGAAAATAAAAAAATTGATATATTTTAAAAAATTTAATAAAACCTAAAGATAGATTTTACTATTTCATAATTAAATTTTTACATAATAATATGTGTTCATTTATATTTTGGTTAATTTATAAATTAAAATGATTCTTTGCTATTTTTAAAAGCTAATTATTTATTAAATTTTGTTAGAAAAAAACCTTTTATTTATAATTGATTGATCCTCTAAAAATAATTTAATTATTTTTTATTTTTATTAATTTTGTTATGTACAATCAATATTATTGAAAGGATAAATTGTTTTATTTTAAATAGCATTAAAATACAAAACCAAACAAGCTGATTCATATTTCGATTATAGTTTATAACTAATAAAATTAAGTGAATAAAAGTATAAAGAATAGAGCTAATAAAATTACATTTATTTATTTATAGAAAAATATGAAAATAAATCTATTTATTTATTTTTTGTAATATTCTAATATGAATCTATTGATTTATAGATAAAATGTAATTTTTACTTGACCTGAAAATATAAGTAATTACTGAATATATAACATAAACTGATTTACATAATCTTTTAACCTATATGTCTAAATAAAAATAAGTTGAAGAAAATTTAGTATACTTATTAGTGTTTTATAAATATGTGATAAGAAATTGGAAATAAAGATTGATAAATATAAATCAAGATAATGTTATATTTAATTCCAAAAAAAGAATTTACTGATATAGAAAAAAACCTAAGTATCGCTAAATCTAATTTTGTACTTTGAAAAATTTTAGTTTTATTTATCTATTTTACAATTATTTAAGTTAGTAGAATCAATCAAATTAATTCTGCATTTTAAAATAAATTTGATACATTATAATTTAATTACACTGATTCTTCACAAATCTAATAAAATAATTTCATTCATAAATCTTTATATTTTATTAGTAGCATTAAATTAGTGTAATCATTTAAAAAAGTAAAATAAAAGTTCAGTTATTTGAAACTTTGAAGCAGATGAATATGAATTCAATTTTATTTATATTTTATTATGGCAGGAGTTGATATTAATGTATTATTTTCTTATTGAAAGCTATACTCGAATCAGTAATTAATTAGATTCATTTATTTTGAAAAAATAGTTGAAAAATTAGTAAATTAATGTTATCATTAAGCAATATGTTAGATTAATTAATGTACAAAAATAAATTGTTATATTTAATTGTTATATTTATTTACTTACTTAATTTTCTTTTGAGTTTACAAAACATAAATTCAATTATAATAATGAATTAATAAAATGAGTTAAGTTCATTTATTTTTCCTTTAAAATGAAATTTAAAAATTTTCTCAGTGAAATAAGCAAGGCATTTATTTAATTTAAAATATTTTACTGAAGCCAAAAATATTTATTTTAATTTGGTAAATTAATTTATGAAAAATAGTTTAAATAAAAATATTCAAAATAAGATAAATTTTCTCATTGTTTTGGATATTAAATAAATTAATAATTTCAAAAATTAAACCAGCAATTGATTATCAAATTACTGAATAAAAACAAATAAAATTCAATATGAAATTTTTTACAAACAAATTGTAAGCAAAGTATTATTTTTTTTATAAAATTACGTTTTCAAAAAATTATTGAATTATCATGAAAGTACTTTATTAAGAAAGAAATAATGATTTTTTTATGTAAATAATTAATTTATTTGTCTATAAAATTACTATTTTTGCTACTTTTAAGCAATTAATTTTTCTACTCTAGTATATGATATATTAATTAATTCAAAATGGTACTATTTAAAATTTTTATTGGCTTAATTATTTTGTATGAAATTACACTCTAATTTAAATAGATCTAGTAAAATTTACAATAAAAAAAATAATTTTATTTTATATTATTTTAACTTTTTTAGATATCAAATTCAGGCTGGTCATATATTTACCTTAAAAATTCCAATTTATTTTAAATAGGAATGAAAATTTATTAGAATAACCAATAAGAAAAACTTCAATTAAAAATATATTAATCTACTTTAATTTTTGATCATAATTTAGAGACTTTTAGGTATATAAGTAAATAAGTAATTAAGTATATTTGTGATATTAAATTAAAATTTATATGACTAAGGTTTAATTAATTAATTTATTATGCATAAAAAGTAAATATAATTTATAGGACAAAATTTGAACAAAAGAAACCATATATATTTAAATTAATTTTTTTCTATATCCAATAACTATTAATTATATTTTAGTTATTGAAATATTTATATCTAACTGATAAGTTATGGCTTATTAATAATTTTCTCTTAATAAAGCTTATATAATAGTTAATTTTTTTATTGAAATATTATATTTTAAAATTTATAAGTTTTTCCCTTTTATAATTTCTATATGCAAGTTTTAGTTAATGTAAATCAACAAATTCATAAAATTCAATAATTAATACAAATTTAATATTAAAAAATAGATAAATCTAATCTATACGATTTTTACCATTTTGGTTTATTTATATTTCAATTAAAAAATTTAAATATTAACCCATAATTTTAGTTTATTTTTGGTAAATTAAAATAAGAAAAGAAATAAATAATATTATTTAAGTATAAATAATATTTAAAAGTTCATAAAAGTAATAAATAATATATTTAGCTTTCAATTATGAGTTAAATTATTCAAATGCTTGGCTTGGCTTTGCTTTTTAGCTTTTAAAAATGAATAACTGAAATACATATACGAATGAATATTTTTAGAGGTTTATTTATTATTATAAGCAAAATGAAATTTGATAAAGGTTTGTGTTATCTATTTAAAAAAGAAAACTATTTAATGTTTATTAAAACTTTTTAGAAAATATAAATATGAATAATTAATTTATTTTAAATTAAAAACAAATTTAAGTTAATTACTCATAATAATTGTAAAAAACATTTTAAAAATAATAAATTTAAAATAAAAAAGTTTAATTGTTTTTTAATTTTAAGATAAAAAAAAACAAACAATGAATTTAAAAATAAATTATAAAACCAAAAAACGATGAGTTTGCTAATCGTACACAAATAAAAAACCCATCAAACATATCTGTACACCATTAAATTTATAAAAAATATTCCTGATCAGAAGTAATATAAAACCAATAAAAGATGAGTGTACCAAAAAAATTTTCAAAATTTAATAAAAATAGGTTGATAAAAAAGTTAAAAATATAAAGTGTAAAATTAGCTTTAAATCATAAAAATTAAATGAAATATCACAATCTGTACCTACACAGTTCGGGATATTTTAATTACAGGATTAGCTATATTTAAAAATGTTTATTTATTTAGCATAAACCTAAAGGGTGAAGAAAAAACTGCATAAGAACAATTAGTATCTAATTCTGCCAATTAAGAAAAAATTGAAGGTAAAATATATAACACCTACCTATTAAAACTAATCTGCATTCTTTCTTTATTTGGTAATAATTTGATTGAGTTTAATCATAATTTTATTATAATGTAAAAATTAGAAAAAAAATTTAATTAAAGTTAAATACAAATTAAAAAATTATTTCAAATGTATAATTAAATAACATAGATAGATTTACTTTTTAAATTTAATTTTATAAAGCAGAAAATCAGAATTGTAATAATAAAATGCTTATTGTAATTAAAGGTAATGCAATTAAGGAAGAGTGAGATTCATTACTAGTTTTATTAATATCAGGAATAACAAATTTATCATCATATTAGTTATACTTATCAAAATATAAGCATTAATACATTTTTTATTGCTTTTCTTAAATTTACTTGGATTCACTTTTACATTAATTTTAAATGCATTGTCCATAGATTTCTGGTGTTTTTATTTCAGATTTACTAAGGCATCTATTTACTACACAAAAGAATGATAATACAAATTGCTTAAAACACTCAGCATCCATTTGGCAGCTTTGTAGCTGTTCTATAAAACATATATCTTCTTATGTTTTATTTTGATCATTAGACATTTTTTAATAAGACTCTTCAATAAATACATTAGGCTATTTCTATTCAAATTATGTTTCGAAATCTTATTAATCTTTTTGATAACTCTAAAATCTTCTTAGATCATCTTCAGGATTATATTTAGCAGCATATAAGCATTAGTAAGTTTGTAAACTTAATTTTTAAACTTCTTCTGAATCACTAATACATTATCTTTAAATACATGATCCATATACTTCTGCTAACTCTCCATCTAATTCAAATCCACATCTTAAAGTAGTACAAGCAAATTAGTTATATGACTTACTAATACACTCTTTTCTATTTTCTTCTTTACATTCTAGATATTACTTGTTTAAGCATTTATTATCTTCGCTAAAATTTTCATATTCTTTCAAATAGTTTAGATAGTTTTCTAACATTTCAGGTGTAGATATATCTTCATCAAA